TCACCATTGTAAGTTCATCTTCTTGCAGGGTACTGAGTCATCCCATGCTGGGAATATCATGCCTGGTTGTCATGAGACCAATGTCACCAAAGACAATGAAGGCAACACTAACATGAAATGAGATGAAGGATCAATGAAGTCCTCTTTTGTGCAGTGACACTTAACTGCAGCTTTTGTGAAGCTTTTGTGCAGTGACTCACTGCTGCTTTGAACTCTATATATGTAGCTTTGAACTCTATGTTTGTGGGAGCTGGACTTGTGTAGTTGGCATGCAGCTTTGAACTCTCTCTCTCTCTCTCTCTCTCTCTCTCTCTGTGTGTGTGTGTGTAGTTAAATCAACTAGTATGAATCTGAACTTGTGAACAAGTCTGCAGTGTACTGTATTTGTTGAACTTGTGAACAAGTCTGCAATGAAATATGCTATTAAATTCATCTCTGTAATGACTAATGCAGTAAGTCAGCAATGCAATGGGCTATTAAATTAATCTCTGTAATGTCTAATGCATATCTAATTCCTGACATTTTTTCCTGACGGTATGGCGATAGGAAATAATTATGAAATTCTGTTGGTGGTCGTTTCCTGACGGTTTTCCGACAGGAGTAAACATTGAGTCCTTGTCGGTGGTCGATTTTCCCTGACGGTTGTGCGACAGGAATTCATTGTAAATTCATATCGGTCTTGAATTCCTGACGGGAGTTCCTGTCGGATGAACTGACAGCAATTACCTTTGACTGATCAACTGAGAACCGTCAGGAATATACCGACAGGAAAAGTTTCCTGACGGCTAACTGTCAAGAATTATGGATTTTTCCTGTCAAGACGTTCCTTACGGCGTGTTCCTATCGGCTGGCCGACGGGAATATTATTCCTGACGGCATTTCGCTCATTCCTGACGATTTTTGGCCGTCAGAAATTCTCCTCAGCCTGGTAGTGTAAGGAAACTCCAACTGGGCCAAATCGATTCGAATCGTCGTTGCTTCTCAGAGAAGAAGACTCGACTCTCTGACCACTCATCGTAGTTAATCAATAGAAATCATGGTTACTTCTAAAGATGAGATGGGATGATTAAAGAGGTGATTGATTTAGATCAGGTGCAAATTGGATACTACTAATGAACTTAATACTCGGCTAAAACATTGAAAGTAAGGATCCACTTTTAGTAAGCTTTTCTGTAAAAGTTATTTCTTGCTTCAAACTTTCCTTTAAGCCAGCATGCCCTTGGAGTCTTTTCTTTTAGTTGGGTAAGACTTGTTGAGTACCCTCAAGTACTCAGGGTTTGTTAACCCCTGTTGCAGGTTCTGACTTGTGTTGCTAATCGAGGTTATGTCGGTGGGCTCGACATGATCTGGCCGTCTCTCCTACCTTAGATGCTTTACCTAAGTTGCTTTTGTAGTTCTATTCACCTTTTGGAACTTAAGTTTAGTTTTTACATAAACATGTTTTGTAATCTAATTCTATAAGTCTTCCGCACTCCAATGTAAGATATTTTTGTATCAAATGTTGTAATGTTGTGGTAACTCCATGTTGATCCTATATGAGTTGTAAAATGTAGATAATTCGGGGTCCCCAAGGACACCCGATAGACTACCAGAGTTATTTGGCTCTCGTGTGCAGCAGTCAGGGGTCTTTAGGACAATGCCATGTGCACGTGGGCTATATAATTTGGGTGGTTCTGCCACATAGCCCTTCGCCACAAGATAAGATTTTGTGCTTAACAATGGTCCCTTATTCATCATGCTTCAGCTTGAAGACCCACTTCAAGCCAATTGGATGATGGCCTGGAGGCAGGTCGACAAGCATCCACATGTTGTGTTCTGCTCGATCGATGTCATCTCCTCCATCATCGCCTTGCACTAGTTATCCTTTGCCATGTGCCTCCTCGAACATGGCAGGTTTATCACCCCATGACAACACCATTGGTCCCAGTATGTTCTCTAGAGTGTCCAAAATGAGAGTGGAGCCTTGCCATCATGCTCGTTGTCGAGGTCTAGATCACCCAACGGGACGACGCAAAATCCGTAGCTGGTGCAGACATAGGGGTTGCTGGTGGCATGTTTAAGATTGTTGATGGTCATTAACTCATCATTTTAAGCCATGCTTAATTTGAGGATATGAATGATATCCACCATAGGCATGGGGCATATTTCTAATAAACTTCATAAGTTTTTGGTAACTATGTGAGTGTAGGAACAAATAAGTGAAAGATGAGCCAGTTGGGAGGTTGGGCGACCTGGCTCTAGGTTGGCCAACCCAACCCTAGCCCATCCAACCCCACTATTTCACCACATCACAGAAAACATACCTAGATGTCATCACACATGTTGGTTCAACATCGGTTTACATCAAAGGGATGAAATGAAGCCAAGTGGAGATAGTGGCGGAACCAGAACTTTTAATCAAGGGGGCCGAACAATACGATGGCTTCTCGTAAACATAATAAATATATACAAAAAAATGTACGTTTAATAGATTTTCAACGTTTTTACATATATATTTAGTACTCGTAACAAAAAACACAATATTTGCCATAAAAAGAGTGAAATAATAACTTTTTTACTGCACAATTAAATCTTTTATATGTATTTAAAAGAATCACTGTGCTTGGGGGGCACACGCCCTGCTGGCCCCCTGGTTCCGCCAACGAGTGGAGAGCACAAGGATCCATAGACCCATCCAATAGAACAAACACACTTCAACTCACTTACCACATTTCATATGGGTCATAGATCAACTCGCCAACCAAAGATAAATGGCAAAGGAGGTTGGATCACTTCTGGCGATCTGTAGGATCGGCCGACCCCATCTTAATTTTATCTAAATTTATTTAAAAAACTGCATCAACATTTATGATTTCAAATATGTATGCTATTAAAATATATTTTAGGACAAATATAATGAAACATATTCACTATGATAAGTATTAACGGCTTTTTACAAATTTGGTCAAAACTTAAGGGAGTTTTTTAAAAATGCACCGATGTCTAAAATATCAAGTTAGTTTCATTAAATTCTCCATTGAATATGTTATCATATTGTATTTATTTGATTTTATAGATGTTAATATATTTTTCTAAGAACCTAATCAAAATTGTAAAAGCTTTATTTAGGACAAAGTTAAATCAAACTATAATTTAAACTGAAGAGAGTAATTTATAATTCGTGTACCTAAACAGATGGGTTTACCTAGAAATTTGCATATGGTAGTGGTTTGGGCATGATAACAACTTTGAAAAAGAATCCAACTTTTCAGAAAATACCCATGCACAAAAAAAAACGAGAGGAATCACACCTAAGGAATACGTCGCTTCCAGCATGCAACATCCCCCAGTCGGTATCCAACAACCATTGACCAATATCTGAGTAAGTACAATTTGGAAGAACGAACTGATCAATCCAACTATACACAAGTGGGAATAGGATATATATTCTGGACTTGGCCAAGGATCACTCCAATTGTATAATGCATATACAGTAGCTTTGATTCTTTTGAGCGAAAGGAATTGATCAACTGAAGGCTGAACCAGCCCTTTCCCCGCAATCGACTTACGTTGCCAGGGAAAAAATTAGATACAAATTAACGGTATTCACCGTGCCTCCATGTATACATGCCATGGACAATTGCCATGTGTCCGGTCAACAAGATCTAACCGCGTATGGTGGAGATAAAAAAGTAGCGGGCGTAGAAATAACCGATCTACATGCGGAGCCTAGGAGGGAATCTTTTAAACAGATGGGTTTGCCTAGGAATTTGTAGATGGTAGTGGTTTGGGTATGATAACAACTTTGAAAAAGAATCCAACTTTCCAGAAAACACCCATGCACACAAAAAACGAGAGGAATCACACCTAAGGAATACGTCGCTTCCAGCATGCAATATGCCCCCGTCGGTATCCAACAACCATTGACCAATATATCCAGTGAGGCTGTGTTTAGTTGGTGAAATAAAAATTTTTGGATGTCACATCAGATATTTTGGGAATGTTGGAAGGGGTTTTTGGATACTAATAAAAAAACTAATTACATATCTCGCCTGGAAACTGCGAGACGAATTTATTAAGCCTAATTAATCCATTATTAGCGCATGGTAGTTATTGTAGCGCTTATGGCTAATCATTGGACTAATTAGTCTTAAAACATTCGTCTCGCGATTTCCAACCAAACTGTGCAATTAATTTTTTTAGTCTATATTTAATACTCCATGCATGTGCCATAAGATTTGATGTGATAGTTTACGGTGAAATTTTTTTGAACTAAACCAGGCTTAAGTACAATTTGGAAGAACGAACTGATCAATCCAACTATACACAAGTGGGAATACGATATATATTCTGGACTTGGCGGCAAGGATCACTCCAATTGTATAATGCATATACAGTAGCTTTGATTCTTTTGAGCGAAAGGAATTGATCAACTGAAGGCTGAACCCGCCCTTTCCCCGCAATCAACTTACGTTGCCGGGAAAAAAATTAGATGCAAACGGTATTCACCGTGACATGTATGCATGGAGACGCGGTAAATACAGAATGCATCCAATTTTTTTCCCGTTTCCGCACACTTTCGTGTGCCGCGTGCGCCTCCACGTGACGTTGGACACCGCGTCCCGTTCCACTTCCCACCTGTATTTCATAATCCCCTTGTTCTTGCCTCCTCTCCTTTTCTTGTCTGCTACTAGTAGTCCTGGTCTCCATTTTCCACTAAAGACAAGCACCGGATCAATTTTCTTCTCGGGGGGAGCGGATTGGGTAGTTGCCCGCTTATTGACTCGTTCTTGGCGGCTATTGTGAATTTTGTTTTAGTCTGGCCTGTTGGCTTCTTCCTTGATCCGCTTCTCCTTTCTGGCCGCCGAAGGCAAACCACGCGGCTTGTTCTTATTGAATCCATCAAGAGCGGAGGAAAGATAGGATCTTCGGCGCCGATTCTTGGAGCAACAGCGCTAGCGCAGCGGGTTTTGGTGCTTCGTTTCTTTAGGGTTGTGTTCTTGCAGAAGTTGTTTTGAGGCATGGGGACCTGTCGGAGGAGAGTTCTGGGGGTGTGGTTTTTCTTCTGGTTCTTGTTGACATTTGAGCAGTGCGCATCCCTGAATCATGAAGGTATCGTGTTGTGCTTTGAATCGCTTGCGTGGATGGTTGTTGCCCGACTTTTGTTTTTGACTCTGTTTAGGGTTGTTTCTTTGCTGAACTGCAGGTGCTGCTCTGCTGGGATTTAAGGCAGCGATCGATGCGGACTCAAATGGTGCTTTGTTGGAATGGAATGAAGAGAGTTTGAGCCCCTGTTCTTGGTTTGGTGTGGAATGCTCCGATGATGGACTAGTCATGGTCCTGTAAGTAGTTCTGTTTTGCATAGCAAAAGATAATAAGTACACAAGAAAACTCATTTGTGCATATATTAGTGAACTATATAAATCAATCTGTGATGTTGGGGTTGGGGACCATAATTTAGTGCTTGTTTGGTTGCACTTGTATCCACCTTAATCCACGTGTGTTGGGGTGGATTGGAGTCTCAATCCACATGTGTTTGGGTGGATTGGGGTGAAAATCAAACTTAGTTAGACTCCAATCCGCCCAACATATGTGAATTGAGCTGAATACGAGTGCATCCAAACAAGCCCTTAGTTGGTGGGAGGTATCAGTGTACATCACATCCTTCAAATTAGAACTAGTTCCTGTAATGTGAAAAAGAGTAACCTTCAATTCACCTGTTTAAATGTCAAGATATATTTTTGTTGAGGGAATAACGAAAACTGTCATTTTCTGGATATCTAGTGCCGATCTGTTTTTGGATGGGCAATTTAATGACCATCCTGATAAGAAGGATCCTTCATAAGTTTATCTGTCAAGTTTTTTTTGGCAAAGTTTTGTTGATCCTCCACTTGCTTTCAGGGAGTATAATATTGGATCTGCATCATATTAAGCTTAACTGTTATTTCAAGAATTAGGTATCATTTTGAGTGATGCATGCTTGGTTCTGCTGTAACATTATGTGTGCACTTGCTGTTAAGGATTGTACATAATTCTTACGCGTTCCTGTTTTCTATATAGTTAAAGTAGCAGTGATTATTTTATTTTTGAATTAGAGCATAACACTGTGTGTCTACTTCTGATTGATCATGCCTATTCTGATGTGTTCCCCTAAATTTGAGTATGCAATTATGCAGGAGCTTAGCAAATCTTGGTCTAAAGGGTGTTTTATCTCCAGAGCTTGGAAAGCTTATGCATATGAAATCTCTGTAAGCACATTCTGTACTTCTTTCAGAAGTGCTTTGTTTTTGTTCATACACATTGACTCAGAAACTTTAAAAAGTATGCCTTTTCTTAGTTCTGAATTTTGATGTGCTCAAGACCTTAAGCATTTTCACTTTTCAGTTGTCAATTCAGGAATTTCATCTAGCATTTTGGTTTTTGTTTCTGAGTATCTAGTCAGATACAACACAAATGTTTCTTTTGATGTGCTTACTGTAATGAACTTAGAAGAGCTTAGTTAAGACCAGTGTTTTAAATCGTCGGCAAAGACCTTTAGCGATCTACCTCCAGAAACAGCAAATAAGCCGGCTATAGCGGGCTAATCGCCAACTAAGACATTTAGCGCCTCCAGAAACAACAAAGAGTCGGCTATAGCAGGCTATAGCTGCAGTTAACAGCTAAATTGTACATTGAAAAAAATAGCTAAATCATCCTCAAACAGCTATAGCTGGAGATTTAGAACCTTGGTTGAAACTTAAGACAAATGTGAACCTTAAAATGGATTTGGGGGGAGAAAAGGAAAGATAAACTGTTGCCATACAAAAAACCCGACTTCTTTAAATAAAAAAAAACCATGGCTATTCTTGTTCTTCACTACATCAAGCCTCTGATTTGCAAAATTGATGCTTAAAGAACTTCCTGTCTTTAGCTGGTGTCCAAACTCCATCTGAGGAATAGTGTTGAGTCAAAAACATCTTATTTGTACCGATTTATATCTGCAGTTTTGTATTTGCCTTTTTTTGTTGGAAGAATTCCCAATTACTTTGTATCCTGATTTTATTTTGTTTTTCCGTACAGAATTCTGCACAACAACTCGTTCTATGGTATCATACCTAGAGAAATAGGAGACCTACAGGATCTAAAGATGTTGGATCTGGGATATAATAATTTCAGTGGACCAATTCCATCAGAGCTACAAAACATATTATCCCTAGAATTTCTGTGAGTGAGATCTTCACCTAACAAGTGTTTCTCTCAGAGTAACTTTCACTGCCTGACATTGATTTCGTTTTTGGAGGTGCAGATTTCTTAAAGGTAACAGCCTTTCTGGGTGTTCACCAGTTGGAGTACACCAGCTCACTAGGATATGTGAACCTGAAAATCAAGTACCTACCCCTACCACAAGGATTGCTACAATCAAAATCAGAAGACTGTTAGTGAGCAAACGAAAAGATTTTGAAATGATCAATATTACGGATCCAATAAGGTCACCCCACCACATGGGTTTTCCGTTGAATTCTCCAGCAGTACCATCTCCTTCTGAACCCATTCCACCCCCTCCACCCCCTCCTGCAGCACCAAGCCAAGAGAACAAGAACAAAAGTTCTGCAACAATATATGCATCGATTGGAGCAGCTATTGTTTTTTTGGTGGCAGCCTTGTCAGCACTATGTTTCTTTTACTACTGCCGCAAGAAGACTAGCACCGTTGTACCCTTGTCTGCAAACAGTTCAAGCAGGCAATTACAGACCACTACCATGGAAGGTTGCTTGATGTGCTAATATTTTGCTATGCATATTTGTTCAATGCTCACTTTGCTGTAGTGCTATGCATTCCTCTAGTATGCATATGCTCAAGGTGTACGCTGCAATACTGCTTGCTTCAATGCACAAACAGAACCTATGGTCCTCTTCTAACCCTTGTTTATGCAGGGATAACTTTATTCAGACTATCCGAGCTCGAAACAGCCTGTGAAGGTTTCAGCAACATAATTGGCACACTACCTGGATTTACACTGTATAAAGGAACTCTGCCATGTGGAGCGGAAATAGCTGTGGTGTCTACAACAGTGGCATATGCAGGAGGTTGGTCCGATATAGCTGAAACACATTACATGAATAAGGTATGTAGTTGGTTTTTCTGTTCCATTTCTTTTCCAAACTTCAGATATTGGGTTTTGAGCACGGTTATCCTTTGCATTTCTAGGTTGGAGCCTTGTCAAAGGTAAACCATAAGAATCTTTTGAACCTTGTGGGTTATTGTGAAGACGAAAAACCATTCATTCGTATGATGGTGTTCGAGTATGCTTCAAATGGATCACTATTTGAGCGCTTGCATGGTGAGTTTTAATTGCGGGCTACCTTTCTTTTAAGGGGTATGTTGTGGGGTACTGCAAAGCTGCAAAAACCTTGTTATCTGTTATTAACAGTCTTCACACAAGGGCTCATGATATTAGCAGTTGTGACAGGAAATCCATATTAGCAGGTTTACAAATTCTAACTACCATCAAAACATTGTTGTTGCAGTTAAAGAAGCGGAGCACCTGAATTGGCAATCACGCCTACGGATAGCTATGGGAGTACTATACTGTCTGGATTACATGCACCAGCAGAACACTCCTGTAACCCTAAGGAACTTAAACAGTTCATGCATATACTTGACTGAAGATGATGCTGCAAAGGTTGCAGACATCAGCTATGGTGTTGCCAAGAAAGAAGAAGATGAATACGATGCTCACGATGAATACAGCACAGTGTATAAGTTTGCTTTGCTACTGCTTGAGACCATCTCTGGAAGGCGTCCATATTCTGACGATGATGGCCTCCTTGTTCTATGGGCACACAGATATCTCACCGGCACTAGCCCGGTGATGGGTATGGTTGACCCGACACTAAATTCAGTGCCTGAGGAGCATGCCAGAGCATTATCAGAGCTGATTCGGTTATGCCTAAGCGAGGACCGAAGGCAGAGGCCAACAATGGCAGAGGTCACCGAGAGGATGCAAAAGATCACTGGGATCACTCAAGATCAGGCGATTCCGAGGAACAGCGCGCTTTGGTGGGCTGAACTTGAAATCATAACATCATGAAGCCTGTCGATTGTGCAACTGACTTGCCCAAACTCTAGAGCTCTGTCCATCTGCTATGAGAAGCGTAGGAAATTGTACAGTTTACCTTTTTAATACAAAGATACACAGCTCTCCTGTGTACAGTTAGTATTTTTAGGCAGGGCATAAGTTGTGAGGTATGCCCGGGCACACAATTCTTTCATTCTTTTTTTTTTTTTTTGGTTTTAACCAAGTATTCATTTCATTATTTGTTCTATGGAAAGCTAAGAAATCTAAAAGCCTGTAAAGTATTTAGGCAGGGCATAAGTTGTACAGGTATTCTTTCATTATTTTTTTAGCCAAGTCTTTCATTATTTGTTCTATGGAAAGCAAAGAAATCTAAAGAAAGCCTGTGCAAGAAAGCCTCTACAGTGAACAGTAAACAACTGGAACCTACTGTAGCTAATAACTGAAACACCACCAGCCACAGCAAGCTCAAACGAGCATATGTTCTCAGCAAGTCAGCATTGCTACTGGGAAAAGATTGGTTTCAACAGCTCAGCCTATTCAAACAGAGAAATAACCTGGATTCATTTATTGAAATGGCAATCGCTGGTTTGTTTACATAAATCCAACTGCGCCTATTACAATCACTGGTTTGTTACTGAAGAGATATATAAAGTGGAAAAAACACTATCAAAAGATCCCTATGTATGTGCAAATGGGCTCTCACGTCGATCACAAGTGCCATCAACTTTTGTTACTCCCCGCATTGCTCCGCCTAGCGTTGCTGAGCCACGACTCGGACGGCGGCGAAAGCGGCGGCATCTTGACCGACGTTGAGCGCAGCATGGAGGCGGCCTGCTTTTGCTTGCTGCTGCTCCGCTCCCTGCCGGTGCCGATCCTTGGGCTGTCGCCGCTGTCCATTCCAGAGCGAGTCAACCTGCTCAGTGCCTTCCTTGCGTCCGCGCAGTACCTCTTGCTCGTACCAAGAAGCGCCATGCCCCACCCTGGGTTCGCCCACTCCTTGCCACTGCCGCTCTTCTCGTCGTACCAATGCGACAGGCCGCCATCGCGTAGCTTGCGGTCCTTCTCCAGGACGTCGCCTAGCGTGACGCTCCGGCGCGGAGGAGAGGACGCGGTTGTGACAGAGGCGACGTCGCCCCGCAGCGGCGTCCGGGAACGCGCTGGGCTCCGCTGGAAACCAAGGAGCACCGGCTTGGCGCTCCAGGGGACAAAGAACATGAACCCGCACGCCCTCGGGGTCATCTGCTCGCCCTGCGCCTCTTCTCTGGCGCACGGCGGGAGTTGTGCCTGTGCGTGTGCCACCGCGTCCTCACGTTGACAATGCGGGGGATGTTTAGGCTGCTCGAAGGCGAGAGCGCGGCGCCGAATGTGAGTCACGAACCTGGCTCTGGCCGCGGCCTCGGCCTCGGCCTCCCTGTCGCGCTTGGACTTGGACTTGCTGGAGCGGCGCGGCGACGGCCGCCTCGGGTGCTTGTCCACGGACGTGGTGGCGATGGCGTTGGCGGCCGGGAGGAAGCGGTCCATGATGAAGCTCGTCGAGGGCGTGACCCGAAGACGGCGCCGTCGATGGCGCTCAGGCGCGCGGAGAGCGCGGCGAGCCTGTCGGAGGACGAGATCCTGTCCAGCGCGTCGGAGAACGTGTCGTCGTCCTGCTGGTCGCTGCTCGAGTCGGTGGTGTTGCTGTGGTGGTGGTGGTGGTAGGCCCACGCGGCGTGGCACGTGCCGCACCGCCCCGGCGGCGGCTTCGGCAGTGGTACAACCCGCTCCGCCTTGCCACCCGCCGCGGCCGCTGCGCTCTTGGGCACGCCCGGCGAGCTCTCCCACTTGAACGGTACGTGCCCGCGCTGCGGGGACGCGTCGGCGCAGCCGCGGCGCGCAGCAGGCGTGTCGGCTGACCGCCCGCAGCACGAGCGGCGTGGCGTTGGGAGCGGCGACTCGAGCAGCAGCTGAGCAACGACGTGGCCGCTGCTACCCTTCCGCCGCCACTGACGGTCAGAGCTCCCGGTTACCACGACGACGTCCATGCTGCCTGACCGCCTCTACCCGTCAGCCAGCAGCATTGCATGCACCAACACGAGAGGCGTATAAAAGGCAGGCTGCGTGGATCGCGAGGTGGTTGGAGATGGAGCGCCGGGGCGGGCATTGCTTAACCAAAGGCTTGCAACGCTGGTGGTTGGGCGTTGGTTGGTTATGGAGTGAGCTCTCTACTCGTGAAGACGTTTATAGGCCTCAGTGGAGGTTGCCGAAAGGGAGACGCGCTTCAGTGGGGTGAAGCTTAGCTGATTAAGTGTTGCACTTCCCCGGTGGCTCGTTCAGGAGTTTGTACTCCGAGGAACTGTGCAAAGAGTATGACGCGGGAGATTGTAGGACGGAAAAATATTATTACTGTGAACTGTGGAATGAAGACAAAAACATCTAAACTAAGATTAAAGAGCAAACCTGGTGATAACGCCTAAAGCTCTGATTACCACTTAATGAAAATGAGGGTGTCCGATCTTCCGTTAGATGGAGGTACCTTAAAGATGATTCATAAAAGATGACAAGATGATGTGAAAGTTTACCTTTGACATATCCAAATGGGATAGAATCTCTGATGAGCTATTTACAATGGGAAGATCAAGACGCCTCATACTTTACTGCCGCTTGACGAGTTAAAGCATCACATATTTGTAAATGGCATAAATCTTATGCTCATGCAACTAATGACCATATTGTTTCCCATAGACAAATACAATTGGCCATTAGTGAAGGACGATTGCTCATTGGAAGTATGCAAATTGATTGTAATCCTTTACCAGTTAATATTCTTGAATTGCAAAATCCAAAGGTATTAATACGGTCAAGCAAGGCCAAATCAACCAAAGGAAAGAATGTAATTATTAGTGAAGAAAGGCCTAAGCTCTTAAAAGAGAACAAACAAGAATTAGTAGAGAATGCTTCGACACTTGGGGGGGGGGCAAGATAAAAGTGCTCGGGCTGCAGAAGTCGCCCTAGCCGATCTGGAAATCGGCCTGGCCGATTTTTCTAAGAAAACTAGAAGGAGCTCCAAATACGAGATCATGGTGAGGTTGAGCTTAATTTGAGGAGCTTTTGGCCAAATACAAGAAGAAATGAGCTACTCAAAAGAAGAAGAATTGATCGAGCAAGGAAGATTTGAAGCCATCAACAAAACATGAGGAGCTGATAATCGTTGCCGCTGCATCTCATTCTATTTCTGTCGACAAAAAATGTGTCGATGCGAAGATCGGTCATACACCTAAAGGGCTGGTACTCCTAGATCGCACAAGTGTCATAGGGCTACTCAAGGATCAAAATCGCAGTGAGGCAGAGAAAACTAGCCTAGGCCGATTTAAACAGTTGCCAAAACTAGCTTGGGCTGATTTTGGCAGGGCAGCCTTGGCGAAAAACCTTGAAATGCCTTCTAGAAAGGAGCTAGTCGGCGAGGGGCAACTAGGGTTTCTCTAGGTCAGCAAGGCCACCTAGAACACCCACAAATTCCATTGAGAAGCTTGCAAAACAACAAATACGGGGTTGAAAGAGTCAGGGTTTGAAAAGGTTAAAATGGTAAATTAGTTTATTTTTTGATCAGTTGGATACCTTAATTGACCATGAACCTCTTATCTATAGAGGGGGTGGCCTTATCCATGGAGGGCCGAGATCCCGTGCAAATCCACGCAAAACGAATACAACTCGGTCTTGATAGAAAAAAAAACATCCTAGGCCACTCTACACGATACCAGAAACTGGCCTAGGATGGTTTAGTTACTATTGATGGGCTAAAAACAGAGAAAACAGTCTCGGCTGGTTTTCACAAGGGAAAGCTGGATGGACTTCCCAAAAGTGTAATTTCTCATCTAGACTCCAAATTTGGCTTACTATATATGATTTTTATTGTCCAGATGAGAGGAATACATTGGTGACAATTTACATTTTGAGGAAGTCATAAAACTGGCCTAGGCCGGTGTCGGTGTTTCAAGTTACCACCGACGAGTAAATTTCTAATATTGCGCGTCTGGCTCGGATGGTGTGCTTTGAGGACACGAGGTTTATACTGGTTCGGGCAGAAAGTCCCTACGTCCAGTTCGTTGTTGCTGCTCGTGTTACTAGCACTGCAAGTTTGTAGTAGGGCGTACAAACGGGCGAGAGAGGGAAAGGATCCCAAGTCTCTGGTGGAAAGAGTGAACAGGTGCTGAGAGCTCGATCGCCGCTCAGCCGTGTGTTCGTGTCGTGTTCTTATGTGTTTATCTCGTGTTCTGATCGGTTAGGGGTGATTCGATCGGTCCTCGATGAGTTGACCCCCCTCGATGGGTCGCCCTGCTTTCCCTTTTATAGGCCAAGGTAAAGCATGGGTTACAACAGAGGAAAAGAGAAGAATAAGAGGGAGAAGAAGTCATTTAGAATCATCGGGTCCTTCTTCTCCTTCACGTGGGTCTCGCCAACCCTATAGATGTCAATAGGGGCAGCTCCATGTCGTGGCCCTGTCCGTCATTGGCGCCACGCGCAGGCGTTGTCTACCGGTCATGGTGTTCCATTCCGTCTTGGTGGACGTCGTGATGAACTGACGTGCCTGTCAGCGTTCGTACGATGGTTAGGCAGAACAGCACCGGCACGCCCGATGCTGTTCTTCATGTGAACCCTCAGGTATGGCCCGTCACGGCCATGAGTTACATCGGGGTGTGTCGGTCTCTTCCTTGGTATCAGAGTTTTGACCCAGGCCCATACACTTGAACCTGGAGTGGTTGGCGGTGGCATGGGTCCCCGTCAGGCGAGGCAGAGCTCGCGGCCTCGAGGTCGAGCGAGGCGGAGCTCACCCCCAGATGTCGGGCAAGACGGAGCACAAACCCAAGGGTCGGGCGAGGCGGAGCCCGCGGCCTCGGAGTTGGGCGAGGCGTACCTCACGGCCTCAGGGTCGGGAGAGGCGGAGCACAACCCTAAGGGTTGGGCGAGGTGGAGTTTGCGGCCTCGGGGTCGAGCGAGGCGGAGCTCGCGGCCTCGAGGTCGGGCGAGGCGGAGCCCGAGGCCTCAGGGTCGGGCGAGGCAGAGCCCGCCCCCAGAGGTCGGGCGAGTCAGAGCTTGGACGCCTGGGGTCGATTGGAGCTGTAGTCATGCTCTTGACTGCTCAAATGAATTAATGTTGATGGTTATTAGCTCCTCCTCTTTGAGTACCCTAGTATTGATCCTCGATAGTAGCCCCCGAGCCTGCCGAGGAGTAGAATACTCCTTCGGAGGCTTTTTCGAATGGGAGGACTTTGAGGGCCTTGGCCTTCTTTTTGTCTTCCACAGTGTGACCTAGGGACGGTGATTCCCTTTCGTCGAGATCGGACCCCTCGGGGGTATACCAGTGAGATTTGGTGGGTCAAAAAAGGTCTTTCCTGATTTCGACCCCTACGGGGCTCTGTTGTTCTGCAGCCGTGCGTTCGGTCTTCGTGCGAGTCCAACTTTCCTCGAACCCCCGCCCGTAGCAGGGGTCCGGTCGAGGAGCGGCTCGTCTTTGCGATTGTCTTCCCTTAAGCATTTTTTCCGATAAAAACGGAGGGGCCGAGCCATGCCATGATTTTCCTCTATGGACGAATCATGGTGCTCGGTGAGCTGTTAATGGGTAGTCCGAGTGGGGCCCCAGCATCCCGTTCGTGGGGATCCGGGTTGGGTCAGCTTGGTGACCGACTTCAGATTCTCAGTGGTCAATCCATATAGTTCTCAGGTCCGTTCGACCGGTCTCGAGGGCTCTTTGCCTTCCTTCGAGGAAAAACCATGGATCATATCTGGCCAAGACTCGGACATAGGCCGGGATGCCCACGACACTCGTGCGCCCGGGTTTTGGCTGCTAGCGGGCCCATCCCTTCCCACCCCTCACTCTAAAGGTGCCCGGAGCGGTTGTCGAATCCGTTGGTGGGCCAACCTTTGAACTCCTGGGCCTAGACGGGTCGTAAGAGCATTTTTAGTTCCGTATCCCTTTTACCTTTGACGGGTCATTCCCGTTCAAAGAGGCAAAACATCCGGCGAGTTTTCCAAGGGGACAGCCATAGGTTGCGTGAGCACGCCCCACGGCAAGACATGGTGGCAGGTCATGGCAGGCGCGGACATCTAGGCGGGCGGTTGATTTTCTCGCACCCATCGACCCTATAAAACCAAAGGGTTAGCCCTCTGGGTTTCATACGCACGCCTGCATCCTTGCCTCCACAGCCACGCCACCGCCGCCATCGCTTAGGTTTCCTGCCTCCGCATCTCCGCCGCCGTTGAACTCGCATCCATCCGCTCCCATCTCCAATGGATCCGTGGTGCTGTTTTGACATCACCTTCTAGCACATGGAGGGCCTTGTCTGATGAGGACATCACTCCTTCAGATGTACCCGCTGATCCTCCAACCGTTATGCAAGGTCCAATGACCCGAGCTCGAATGCGTCAACTCAATTTAGAGGTCAGCTCGTTCTTAAGCGATCCTTTTCATACTTTTGAGAATAGACTACTACCTATTGATGTTATCTTGGTTAGAAACATAGGAGAGGGTCATGAGGAACTTGGAGAAAGGTATAGAGGTGGAGAAGACCAGCAAGGATGACCAACACAAGCTAGAGGCCCAATCCAACTGAAGTTGGAGCCCATCTCGGGTTCCAGGACCAGTCTATCATAAAACTTCGGGCTCTGTTTTCAACGATCCATATATGGATGGAAAGATAATTAGATAAGAAAGCCATTGCAAGTGGTCTCATGTCAAAAGCCCTTTGAAATCAACAGGAATTGTCGAAACAAGTCAGCGTCCAGAATCTACCAGGGTGCTGCGAACCGTCTTTTGGTCCGTTGGACCGTGTATCATGTTTGGGCCCATTAGAGGCGCGTCCAGGGGGTGACGCCCAAGACTCTATATTATACCACCGTCACTCTTGTTAGGGTTTTGGGTTTTGCTTAGATTAATCTGTCAAGAACAGTTTCGCTGTTCATCGGTTTGTGAGACCCCAACATCGTGAGATTAATCATTCATTTGTAATTTTGTTGTTTTCTTTCTTGTTCTTGCTTGTGTTCTTCG